CTGTTTTAGGAACCCCTATACAAATAAAAACTGATGGTGGCCCAGCATATACTTCTGACCCTTTTAAGCACTTCTGTGCTAACTTCCACATCGCTCGTATCACCAGGATTCCCTATAACCCCCAGGGACAAGGTATTGTGGAACGTGCACATGCCACATTAAAAAATTATTTACAAAAAATAAAAAAGGGGGAATACGGGACCATAGCACATTCCCCACAAAAATGGCTATCACATGCTCTTTTCACTTTAAATTTTTTAATACTGGATAATCAAGGGAAATCTGCAGCTGATCATCACTGGCATCCTGAAACCAAAAGACAACAAGTCTATGTGAAGTGGAAAGACCCTCTAACTGCTCAGTGGTATGGACCTGACCCTGTTTTAATATGGGGACGTGGACATGTTTTTATATTCTCGCAAAAAGACAATGAAGTACGATGGTTACCTGAGCGACTGGTGCGGCAAACAGACAATGTCACGAAGCAGCCCCTTGATCTTCATTATGATAACATTGCTGATCAGAATCCCCCTGAAGATGAATGAAGCTTGCCGGCTCACATCAAGCCAAACCTACGTTACCACCTCTGTTGGTTCGCCGGTAGTTCTAAATTGTTCATGTGCTTAATTAAAGCAGGGTTTGTACAACGGGCAAGGAACAATCAACCCTTGTTCCGTATAGGGAGGGATATAGTTGAAAATCAATGGCTTAATGTGACTGATCAATTGAAAAGGGAGAATACTGATTTTAGCATATCAAAACTGGTCACGGGCCGGCGCCGTGGCTCACTAGGCTAATCCTCCGCCTTGCGGCGCCGGCACACCGGGTTCTAGTCCCGGTCGGGGCACCGGATTCTGTCCCGGTTGCCCCTCTTCCAGGCCAGCTCTCTGCTGTGGCCAGGGAGTGCAGTGGAGGATGGCCCAGGTGCTTGGGCCCTGCACCCGCATGGGAGACCAGGAGAAGCACCTGGCTCCTGGCTTCGGATCAGTGTGATGCACCGGCCGTAGTGTGCCAGCCGCGGCGGCCATTGGAGGGTGAACCAACGGCAAAGGAAGACCTTTCTCTCTGTCTCTCTCTCTCACTGTCCACTCTGCCTGTCAAAAAAAAAAAAAAAAAAAAAAAAAAAACTGGTCACATTGACAGACTCGGGTATACCTTTGTCAATTCTGGAAAAGAGGCCTCGTTGATGTATTGGTCAAAACTGTTAAAGTAACTCTTACGGTCAATTCCTCCTTCTCTGTCGAAAGTAGCAATTTCTGGCTACATTTAGCTGCCATTAACTACTTACTACTGAAAGATCATATAAGCTGTGACTTGATTCCTGGAGGTTGCTGTTTTAATATCTCAAATAATGTTCCTTACATAAAATATCTGGTACAACAGCTAAAAGGTGAACTTCAGCACATGTTTCTAACTAATCCCTTTTCTTTTGGTGAATCTCGATGGACCCACTGGCTTTTGACGTTGCTGGGTCCTTTATTGCTGCTCCTGCCTTTTTGTCTGTGACTCCCCTGTATATTCCAATGCCTCTCTGTGTCTTTTGGTGCCGTTTGGTCTGAGATTTTAAAGTTATGTTCACAGCTTCACCCCCAAGCCAAAAAGCATGGCATTGAATTCCAATGACGGGTAAGACTCGGTCTCCTTGTACCAACCTAAGACAGGAGCCTCAGAATGTCTGGGGTGTCCATTGATGGGTAAGGACAAGAAGAGACACGGGCAACCTAAGACAGGAACAATGCCTCAAAAAATAAAAAAGGGGGAAATGTGGGCAGAACAGGCAGTTCTCCTTTTGTTTACACTTAAACATATAAATGGAGACTTCCAGGCACAAACAATTAGGCTAGGGAGATTCCAGGAAGAGGCAGGAAGAACCTTATCTCACTGCTAAACCTTTCACAAGAGATGATATAGACAATCAGTTACATGTGAAACCTGCATTTATCACCTAAGTGTTTTACTGTACCCTTGTAATCAATAATTAAGAACCTTATGGGGAACTCTTTGTAACCTTAAAAGCCTTTTTGATATGTAAATCTTTTGTGCTCCTTCTTGTAAACAACTGGTCATGTTTAAATACTACTGGATTTGTTCAATAAAGGAGCCTTGATCAGGCCTTGTCTTGGCTCCATTCTTTGCTGCGTCCTTGTCCCTGCATTCCCACTCTCTGTTTCAGGAAACCCAGTTCTTTGTGCTGCAGGCCGGCACTGTACTGATGACCTCAAAATATGCTAACAGGTCACCACAGTTGATCTTACTTAAAGATCATAGTTCTCCTCATGAGCATATTTTTAACTCATAGGAAAATGCTAAGCGTCAAAATTTGCTCATGACCATAGTTTTCTAGCTCACCTTGATGCTGGTAAAGAAATCTTGGAAAATCAGGATTGGGTTGAGCACCCCCTTGACTGACATCATAGAGGTTGCCTCCATGGTCTACTTTATTAGAGACCAGGAGAACAAGGAGCAAGCTAGCAGCAGGAGCAATGTAAGGATAGGCAACAGGCCAATCAGTGGCTGCTTTGCACGGTGATCTGCCGTCAAGGAGACCCAACAAGGCCAGTGCTCCCCAAACGGCACCTGTTTCTGATATGAGGAGCCAGGGCGTTAGGCAAACAGCTGTCATGACAGAAACCGCCTTCTGTCAGCTCTGTCAAGAGCTGGACACAGAACTGCCCTGGGTGTCGAAGGACTCCCAGACCCTGTGGCCCTGAACTAAAAAGCCTTTGGCTCTGCCCAGCCTTTGCCCAGCTTCCAACTCTAGCCACTGCTATTGAGGGAATGGCCAAGGGTCAGTGAAACGTAAGTTGCCTATTTGTACCAGCCTCCTATTCAGCTCTCCTCCTAGTCCAGCCATGTAATGCAAGTCAACAGGGTGCCTCCCTTAAAGAAGATGCACATCTCTCTCACAATTCTCTTCCAGCACCCCATGGATAGGTCTGGGTCTCACATACCCAGCCAGGCCTTAAAGTCTATCCAAATAGTATTAAGCTTAGAAAGCCCTTCCTGCCAGTTCCTAAATAACAGGGCTTTCAGTAACAGCTAACTTAGATAGTCCTGCACCTATTTGGACAGATCCTCATTGAGGGCTTAAAGAGCCTATCTCTTGAGGGGGGTGCACAATGATCTAAAATGTAGATGGTTAAATGTAAGTGATTTATTAGTCTGATTCCTTTCCCAGCCTGAGACTCTGGTTTTATACATTGGCTTAACTTCCTAATAAAACTAGCTACTAGGTATCCAGAAAAAAAAAAAGCATAGCCAGTCCATTAGAGAGTTAACCCTTACCCCTACACCTGGGGAGAGAAAACCAGCCCCAGGGAGGATATGGGCCATGCAGCAAATTCCTACTTCTGCAAACTTCAGGCAGTCCCAGTATTTCCCTAACAGGTTACAGGTTCCTAGATACAGGGGAAATAGCACAATTCCTAAACCAGGCTCTCAACAGGGAGCCAAAGCAGAGCCCCCTCCTTTGAGAAAAACAAAAAACAATGCACAGCTTTCATCCATTAAAAAGCTGCCATGACTAGGGCTCTCACATAAGTATTGCTAATTCAGTCCTTCAAACAGGCAGGCCCTGGATCTGCTACATGCTGCCCAAAAAAGTGCCTCAAACTAGGGTCAAGCTAAAAGGGTAAAAAATCATATTCATGCTCTCTTGGACAAGGCCAGACAACTCCAGGGCCAGGTCAGTCAAGGCTAAAATATCCAGCCTAACATCACATCTGGTCATGGAAATCCTGGTCATTGCCTCTCCTTGGTGACGTAGCATCCACATTCTTTCTGCTTCTCTGCAGACTACTGTGCTTTAACATCCTTGTTTGTTCTGTCTCTAACAGAAGACAAGCCATCTGGCTCCAGGTGCTTCTAAGATACGGCTTCCAGCCTACCTCATCAGACAAGTTGACCTGCCCTCTGGACCAAGCAGGACAATGCTTCCTGAGGCTACTCTCAAGCACCATAGGACAGATAGCAAGAGAAAAATACCCATATCCATCACTACACCCATTTGTCAGCTTCAAAGTAGCTATAGAAGATGGAACTCTGCCCATTTATCCCCATAGAAGAATTATGGGTATTTTTTTCTTGAGGGGGGATATGTTAGGTAGGAAGTCAGAAATTGAGCCTATGTGTATGAGAAAGGCCTGAAGACCAGCACCCACTGCAGAAGCTCCAGAAGCCCAGCATCTTGCACTTCAAAGTCCTGCGCAGACCCTGATGACCTCCCCAGTGGTCCCAGCCCTCCCACCAAGGAAAGCTGCCAGGAGAATTCCCTCTGCTCAGGACCAAAGGGGTTACTTGATAACATGGGGCAATAAAACCTTCTCAGATGCTCTAAGGGAAGCCCCCCTACTCTGCCCAGGGTGCCAGCAAATCTGGGGAGGAATTTGCTAATTTTCACCCAAAAACCCTTCCCCCAGGACTCTCCATCCTTTGTCCTGGAGAAGGGGGTGGGTGGGTAAACGACTCTCTTAAAAACCTAGAGTCTAACTGGACTGCGCACTCAGCCCTCTGCCTCTCTGCTGAGCCGCCCGCCTGGCCTGCCCAGGTGTGTTCTCTCCACTCAACCATGTAACCTCACTCTCCCCCAGTGAGCGACTGGGCACTCTCTCTCAGGTTCTGTCTGGAGAGGTGCCCATCCGTTCTTACGATGTCCCTGCCCTAATAAACCTTGCTATTTTGCTTTCCACCACTCTCTGTGTCATGCCTGAATTCTTTCTTGTGTGAAGACAAGAATCCTTGCTTCTCTGGTAACAGTGCCACAGTGCCTGGCACACTGTGGGTACCTAATAAGTATTCCTTTGGAAGAGGGGAAAATGGCTGTGTGCATGGCCATTACTATCATCAGCTGATAAAACTTTTCTTCATTTTCCCCATGGTAGGTCATACAGGGTTAATCAGTTCTAGATTGCAAAGATAAGCTCTGCCCTTACCATTCACCAATCCCACAGCTGGGTTGGGCAATCCTCCCAGGACTTAAACAAAGTTCCTCTCGGGAGTGAGTGACAGAGAAGTCAGTTACAGGTCCAGAGCCGCTGCACCATGAGCGTGTCTGCGCTGAGCCCCACCCGGCTCCCGGGCAGCCTCTCCGGGCTCCTCCAAGTGGCGGCCCTGCTGGGCCTGCTCCTGCTGCTGCTCAAGGCAGCTCAGCTCTACCTGCACCGCCAGTGGCTGCTCAGAGCGCTCCAGCAGTTCCCGTGCCCGCCCTTCCACTGGCTCCTGGGGCACAGCCGAGAGGTAGGAAGGAGTGGGACAGGGACCGGGAGGGCAGTGCCGGAGTCCAGCTCCAGCCAGTCCAGGGATTCCCAAGGGTGTGAGAGGTGTTGGTGCAGGAAGAAATGAGAGCACACTCGCAGGAAGGCTGAAGGCTCAAGGCGTGGCTCTGGCTCTCGAGCACCATACTTTACTTTTATAGCCCAAGTCACATAATGATTCTTTCTTCTTACAATAACAAGTCTGTTGTCTATTTTCATCTAGTTATGATTTTTCTGATTTTTAAGGGTGTATTCAGAGCATGGGGCACTATCACAGACAGGTGTGAGATAACGGGCTGCGCACACAAGCCAAGGGCTGGAGTGCTGCTGAGCTATGCAGAAATTGGCTACAGAAGCTAGACTATCACCTTCCTAATCTAATCTTTACTAGAAGCCTCAATGTTTAAAGCAGGCCTCCCCTTTTTTTTAAATGTATCCCCTCTTTTGCAGTTCTGTTTGTAACTCTTTGTTTTTATTGTACTTATCTAAAGGTTCACTTCAATCTATTCCACAGTCTTGACATCCTAACCATTGTTGTATTTGTAGCACCTATTGAATTAAAGCTTTAATAACATTTATCTTTGTCCTAGTGGGAAGTATACACCAGGGAGCCTGTTGCCTTTTAATTTTTTCCACAAACAGCTCAACCTTGCATAAAGCATCAACCCCTTCTCCTACACTAACATTCTGCTTGATTAAAATTCAACAAAGCAATGGTCATTTGGGGGATTATGAGTCTAAGTGCCTTTCCCTAAAATTAGAAATGCAACAATCATTACTGGGACCACCAGGAAGTTCCCAACAAACCTCAAACCAACAAGAGGACCACGGCTGTCGTTCTCATGCCTTGCTGAGACAGACTTTCTGCTGTGACCTCGTCAGCGAGCCGAAGTTGCCTTGGCCTCGCCAGGGCAGGGGCGGCCAGGGCTCGGAGTCTGCTGAACGGGGGCCCACAGGGCACAGGCTGTTGTGTGAGGAGCACAGAGCTCACCTCTCGGGTCTGGGTTCATCCCAGCGACAGGGAGCTCACTCCCTCCCAGGAAGCCCATCCTGCTGTGATACAGCCGTCACGCACGCCTTCCTCACTCTGTCCTGGCAGCCCTGCACGTGGAGGGCACAACTGTTCCTTCCTGAGGTTCTTTCCAGGCTGAGCACCCCCTGCAGCCCCAGCTGTTCTCAAAGAACCAGGCTTCTTTACCCCAGTCACTCAACACCATCCTCTGTGCCTGGTCCTTTGCTTGTCTGGAGACACAGACATCAGTCTGAAGGATCCTGCTCTGTGGGGGTCATGGGGTGCAGCGATGATAGACGGGAGTCTCAGAAGGAGCCAGGACACGGGCAGGCTCACTCTGCTGCGGTGAAAGTGGTGTCACCGCACACCCTGGACTGTGAGCTCCGTGGAGCTGAGTGCACCATCCCCTCCCTGCACCCCAGTGCCCAGCACTGAGGCGCTCAGCACCGGCGTCTGGACAGACGGAGGAAGGAAGGAAGGAAGCAGCTGGAGGGACAGGGTCACCCCCGCACTGGCCGCCCCGGGGTGGGGACGCAGACCCAGGTGAGGAGCCTCGCAGAGACGGGTCATCCAGGGTCGGTGCATGGGGCAGATGTTGGCAGATGGGAGTTTTCAGGCACTGAGGCCTCTTGCTTCTCTTGTTACCGGCAGAAGGGGCCAAATATGGAGACCGGAAACATCCAACCTCCCCTCCATAACCCTGTCCTCTTCTGTCCCACTGCCCTGTTCTACACCGCATTATTCATTAACACCCCTACCTGTCCATGCATTTTTACCTCTGGGCCTCTGCTCACCCTGTGCTCTTGGCTTGGAATAACCTTGCCTCCCAGTGTCCAACCTGCCAATGCCCAGCCCCAAGCCACGTCCTGGAAGAAGTTTCCCGGGTCTTTCAGGAATGGAGGGGCGACTCCTTCCTATGCACTGTCCTCCTCATGGGACAGCGCAGTGACAACTTGATTCAGGTGTTTCCCTGCAGCGTCCTAGCTGGGAGCTCCTTCTGGGTGGGATCATCTGACTCACGTTTGTAACCATGGAGACTCAATGAGTGAATGAGCACGCGACGAGGAAGGGCTTTCTAGTGTCCGGGTCTGAGTCAGCCCCCTCTCCAGGGCTTCCCCGATGCTTGGACTTCCTTCCGTCCCAATAGTAATGTCCTGTACTGTGGCCTCCCAAGCTTCCTGTCTGTCCGACGAGGCTGTGAGCTCTAGACAGCTGAGGATCCATGACCACGCCTCCATCCAGTGCCTGACCCCGTAATGGGCACCTGGTAGGAGCTTGGTGAACATGCACGAATGACTGGGCCTGTCGTGACAGTGGCTGTGAGGAGGATGTGAGCAATGACTGGATACGTATGCAGCCGGCAGTTGCTTTGAGTTCTGTAGAAACAGCAGAAATGACGAAGAGCTGACTGCATGGAACATCTCCAGGAGCGAGTGCCTGTGGGGACTGCAGATGAGCTGAGTGTTGACAGTAGGGGGGAGGCCGCAGCTCTGGGGCGGAGGGGAGGGACACTCCAGGCTGGGGGAGGAGCCTGTGCAAAGGCCCAGAGGAGTGAGCAGGTATGGCTGTGGTAGGGTGAGCACAGAACAGCAGGGGTCATGTGGAATGGCCAGCATAGAGGAGGAAGCAGGGAAGGGCTTTGTGATCCACACTGAAGAGTTTAGAAAGACAGCTCACAAAAGATTCTTCTCAATGAGAAGAGGAAATGCTTACACGAAACCCCATCATCAGACTGCAGTATCTTGGTATGTAAGCATCCAGACCTTGTGCTTAAAGCCTCTCTACGTTTAGCATGGCAAATAACACTACCTGTACCATTTCTATTTCATCTTTTTTCACCTTGCCCTTTTCATCCCAAATATTATTTCATCTTAACAAATGTTAAGCATACTTGTCGGAGTAATATTGATACTATAACAACCAGTATAATAATATAAAATTAGGGGGCCAGTGCTGTGGCGCAGGGGTTTAACGCCCTGGCCTGAGGTGCCAGCATCTCATGTGGGGGCTGGTTCGAGACCCGGCTGCTCCACTTCCAATCCAGATCTCTGCTATGGCCTGGGAAAGCAGTAGAGGATGGCCCAAGTCCTTGGGCCCCTGCACCTGCGTGGGAGACCTGGAAGAAGCTCCTGGCTCCCGGCTTCAGACTGCCCCAGCTCTGGCCATTGCAGCCCATTGGGGAGTGAACTAGCGGCTGGAAGATCTCTCTCTCTCTCTCTCTCTGCCTCTCCTCTCTCTGTGTAACTCTGACTTTCAAATAAATAAATAAATATTTAAAAAATAATAAAAAATTAATGCATACATTTTAAAGTTTAAATAGAATTTCTTTTATTTTCTTAATAAGCTGAATTATGTTACACAGCTGCCCTCAAGTTATATCAGTTGTCCTATAATTTCCATGGACATTGTTGTGCTGATGCTTTTTGTGGTTTTATACATCATGGAGACAGTGCAAGACTGAAGCTTCTGCAGGTGGTTTGCAGGAAGCCTCAGAGGTTTGCCCAAGAAGGGGCCTAAAGCTGGCCTGAGGTCGAGTCTTGGTTGGCTGGACCACACTGGACCAGATCCACGGTCCTTAGAAGCAGCTACAAAGTCATGATTTCTACTGATGGATGCAGAGCTGTCTCCCTGCTGCCCCTCTGCTTTCCCACTGCAGGAATTTGAATCAAATCAAAGTGTGCATTGACGTGTCATTTTCTTTGCTAACAGTTCCAGAATGACCAGGAGCTAGAACGGATTCAGAAATGGGTAGAGAAATTCCCTGGTGCCTGTCCATGGTGGCTGTCGGGGAACAAAGCTCGCCTCCTCGTTTATGATCCCGACTACCTCAAAGTGATTCTGGGACGATCAGGTGAGAAGGAAGCCTCATCTCAGCCACAGCAGCCCTGCCCTCTGAGGCCTGGGCCCCATATGGCCATAAAATCCCAGAGGAAAGGGACACTGAAGCTTCACTCTCTGAAGCCTGCACCAACCAACCCTGCACCGAATCCACAACCCAGCCTGCCAGGCCACCTGCACAAGGATAAATAGCCTCTTTCCCCTCTCACTCCCTGGGTTCTTGCCTTTTTAAGCAAATCTTGGTGATCTGTTATGTAAATGGCACTTGATCTTAATGATCAGTTTCACATCCAGGCTGGCTTGGGTTTGTAACCTTTCTGTATTACTGTCCCCGGTGTGCGATGACCAAGCCGTCACCCCCAGTAGAGGAATCACAGGCTCCATCTTCTTCTGCTTGGGCATGGAGGATGTGGCTCGGGGTTTTCCACAATTTACCCCCTTGATCCTGTGGGTGTTCAAGTGCTGGAGACCTGGGTCTGCCCTCCTGAGCCCAGCTGGCTGTCAGGACAAGACAGAAGGGAGTGAGAGGCCATGAGAAGGGACTTGGGAAGCACTGGCCAGCCGACAAGCACAACAGAACCCCTGCCGCCTTGGTGACTGTCCTGTTTGGTCTTCCAGGTCCTCGTAAACCCCTGCTTCTCTTTCAGACCCAAAGGCTCCTCGTAACTATAAGTTAATGACTCCCTGGATTGGTAAGTGTGTGCAAACTAGGACTGCAGTCCACGCTCTTGTTAGGTTTACCAAGAGCTATCACCTAGGCCCACGGAGAACAGGTGATGGCCACCATTGCCACAGCCCTACCCTAAGTCAAGCCTCATTTCTCTTCTAATCAGACCTCTTCAAAGGCATGCAGCCTGATACTTACTTAGGCACCCTCGCTCCCCCGGCCTTGACCTGCCAGGACTCTGCTAACTCTCCTAGCAGTCATTCTCCTAACAGACGGACCTGTCCATTGCGAGCTTCACATTCCCGAGCAGCTCTCCGCATTCCTCCCTTGGTCAAAGATATTCCACCATCTGGGTTTTCGCCCCTTGCTCCACTCTTGAGTCCTCCCTGTGAACCTGTCACACTTTCCCCTCTCCCCTCACTAAGCATACACCCACCCGTCTCTGGCCCAGGGTACGGTCTGCTCCTGCTGGACGGGCAGACATGGTTCCAGCATCGGCGCATGCTCACCCCAGCCTTCCACTACGACATCCTGAAGCCCTATGTGGGGCTCATGGTGGACTCCGTCCAAATCATGCTGGTGAGTCTGCTGTCACCTCCACACACCCATTCCCAGCTTGCATGCACAGACTTCGCTCCCAAACACGTCTTCCACAGACAGCCACTCTCAGGTCATCACTCACTGTAGTAGCAGGAGTTCCCAAAATGGATGCGACAGAGAATTTTCAGAATCAAGATGAATATACTCTTTGCTTGTTATCCAAGGAAGAGACAGTTATGCTGAATACGGGTGCCTTTTCCCCCACTTCCAAGTCATCAGTGCAATGGACTTTAGTTGCAGTCGGTCTTGTGGACAACAGGATGGGCGCCCCCGGCTGACCTGGGCAACCACAGCATCAGTGACAAGGTGCAGTCCTAGTCAGCTTTCCATTGCTACAACAAAATACTGAAACTCCTCTTGAAGGAAAGAGAGGTTTTCAATAGAGAGTTTCGGAGACTAAAAGTCCAAAGGACTTTCATAATGCAGGCTCTGCACAAGGACCCAGGCTGGCCAGGGGAGCGTGTCTGGAGGAAGGCTCACATGTCAAGCCAGGAGGCCAGGAAGTTCGGGTTGGGCCACACACAGGCTTTTACAACAACCCACTGGCGAGAACTAGATTCCAGGGGCATAACCACAATGACCAAAGTCCAGCCCATTACTGGTGGCTCCACACCTCTCAGTTGTACCACGTTGGAGACCAAGCCTTTAACAGATAGGCCTGGGGGGGTGGGGCACACAAGATTATATCCAAACCATAGCAGTAGACATTCCCTGATATCACTCCATCAGGCTCTGGCCTGGAGCCTAGGGCTTTTCTATGAGTTTGAGTGATCCTTCGAGAGAACTGGACCCTCTGTCCACATTCTAAGAGCCACTGTGGCCACGCCCTCTTTTCCCATCAGTATCTTCGTCTCTTAGCAAATTTTGCTCAGTGAGCATTTGATGAATGACAGAGCTGGAAGTCCTCGCTGGCTCTCCAGTAGGCGCGCTTCTACATGCTTCACAGCTTCCTTTAGTCGTGACACACGTGTTGGCCGATCTGCGCTTCTATCAGTTTCTCATGTCCGTCTCAGCTTTCAGAAAATGGAAGGGTGTCCCTTTCTCATCAACCCAAATGTCATAACCGATTTCCAAATTTTAAAGTGCAATCCGACTACATGAAGAAAGTATATTTGATTATGTAATAAATGCGAATGAGAAATAGGCATCATCTTGCAAACATTTTCTTCACAGCGTTAGTTTGCTCAAAGGCATCTACTCTCTAAAGGGAGAAGTTTTGAACAGGAAATCTGGAGATACAGGGAAAAGCCCAGTTAATTAGCACAGGACATCCACGGGATTCAAGGTCAACATCCCCTCGCCCACAGGACAGATGGGAACAGCTGATCAGCCAGGACTCCTCGCTGGAGATCTTCCAACACGTCTCCCTGATGACCCTGGACACCATCATGAAGTGTGCCTTCAGCTACCAGGGCAGCGTCCAGCTGGACAGGTCAGGGTCCTTGGTATTTCCAACTGACAGCCAGGTGAGGAGCTCACACGCTCACCTCCACAGAAGGCAGGGTTCTGACACCGAAGCCTATGCCAAGCTCTAAGTGTAGACCAGACCTAACCCTGTCTTAGCCACGGATTCTTGATCCCTGGCACGATGGAAGCCTGGCTCTCATGCTGTCTTACAGAGGCCTGTGGTCAAAGCCTGCAAATGTGTAGTGGCACGTGCCTCGGTGCTGCCTGTCCCCACTGTGCGAGGGAATCTCCCCTGAGAGCCCTGCTCTGCCTGCAGATCAGAGGCCGCTCCATTCTGACCTCTTCCACGTCCTCTCCTCAGGAACTCCCACTCCTACATCCAGGCCATCAATGACCTGAACAACTTGGTATTTTACCGAGCGAGGAACGTCTTTCACCAGAGTGACTTCCTGTACAGGCTGAGCCCTGAAGGCCGCTTGTTCCACCGTGCCTGCCAGCTCGCCCATGAGCACACAGGTTCTGCCTCCTCCTCCTCCTGTGTCCCCTCCTTCACCAGAATGGCCCAAAGGACCCAATCCCGACTCCTCAGAAAGAGCCGGGCCCATGCTCCCCCTGCAGGAGCTGGGGCACACTCATGTTGGGTGCAGGGGTCGGGAGCTGAGATGATGGGGTGCCAATTGCTGGGCAGGGGTGCTCTGTGTCATCATATTGGTGAATGAGGCCTCATCCCAAAAACATTTAGCCAGGGCTCTTGGGCTGTTCTGGCTCCCACCCCAACCCACACACCCACTCCCACGCTCACCCTGACCTCCAGGGCACCCGGGTTGGGGCAGGTGGGGCTCTCAGCTGCTCCGGTACCCACTGCTCTGGCACAGACCGAGTGATCCAGCAGAGGAAGGCTCAGCTGCAGCAGGAGGGGGAGCTGGAGAAGGTCAGGAGGAAGAGGCGCTTGGACTTCCTGGACGTCCTCCTCTTTGCCAAGGTCAGTGTGTGCAGGGCAGGCCCGAGCTTGGCCTGGAAGCACAGAGCCAGGGACAGAGCCCGTGCCCTCTCTCCCGCTGTGGCCTCCCCCAGATGGAGAACGGGAGCAGCCTGTCCGACCAGGACCTCCGCGCCGAGGTGGACACGTTCATGTTCGAGGGCCACGACACCACGGCCAGCGGCGTCTCCTGGATCTTCTATGCCCTGGCCACGCACCCCGAGCATCAGCACCGGTGCCGCGAGGAGATCCAGGGCCTCCTGGGGGACGGAGCCTCCATCACCTGGTGAGTGAGAGCCCAGGGGGCGGTGGGGAGGACCCTGCCTGTCTGGGAGGGGAAGCCCTGGGGGGCCCAGCCCTGCCCCCTCCTCTGCCTGGGCTTTGTTTCAGGGAGCACCTGGACCAGATGCCCTACACCACCATGTGCATCAAGGAGGCGCTGAGACTCTACCCACCAGTGCCAAGTGTTACCAGACAGCTCAGCAAGCCCGTCACCTTCCCTGATGGACGCTCCCTCCCCAAGGGTACTAACTGCCCACCCTCACTCACCTGTGTGCTCCCTGGCACACACAGGGGATCTGTCACCCCCATGTGCCTCTGTGGTTCTGAGCCACTCTGGTCTCCAATTTCCTCCTCAATAATTGAGTGCTTGCTTTGTAGTGAGGGTGAGATGTCTGAGAATCTTGGCACAAAACTCTATAAATATGAGGAGTCTCAAAAGATTCATGGATATACAAACAATGAAAATTATGCATCTATTTCATTTTTTTGGCAGCAAAGCAAACTTTTATTTGAATTATATTTTTCACGAATTTTTGCAAGTATCCTTGTAAATGTTAGCCACCGGATTTGTCTTAGGGATTTCAGCCCTAAAATTCTATTCCAAGATGTTAGGTCCACAGAGACAACTGGACAGAGGCAAAAGGAAATATGCTTCTTTCCTTGGGTTAAGATGGATGAGGGAGATCAGGGGAACCTGTGTCAAGGGCCAGATGGGGTCCGGTGTGTAGGAGTCTCCAAGTCGATGGCAGAGAGCAGATGTGAGCGTCGCCAGTGGCTCCCCAGCCCCTGCCTGTGACTGCAGCTCTGCACACCTGCTGTGAGACCACAGGCGATTCACTCAGCCTCTCTGAATCTTAGAAGGATGGGGACGAGAGGCTTGTGGGAGTTTCTCGGGAAGGAGCTGCAGCACTGAGTTGTCAGCTGCTCAGTGCACACGGCAGGCCCCTGGCTCCTTCTTGCTGTCATTCCCGTGGTCTCGCGCCTCGGCTCTGCTCATGGGCTTTGCAAAGCCCACCCCTCCTGCCTGCAAGGGGTCATCCAGCTCAAATGGATAGCTTGTTGATCCGGGTCTTTAGTGCCTGTGTGCTTCCTCGCGACTTCAGGACAGCACCTCACCCCAGGGGACGATCAGTCTTTTCTGTGTCTCCTGCCTGTCCCACAGGTGTCATTCTTTTTCTCTCCATTTATGGCCTTCACTACAACCCGAAGGTGTGGCAAAACCCAGAGGTACGAGGGCTGGGGCGGGGAGCATGGCGGTTCTCTCAGGACAAGTGCCTCCCCCTGCTCTCGTCTCTATGCATCCTGGTCCCCCATGGATTTTCCTTGACCCCCACCCATCCTGGCCCTGGTGCTCTCTGCAGGTGTTCGACCCTTTCCGGTTTGCACCAGATTCTGCTTACCACAGCCACGCTTTCCTGCCCTTCTCAGGGGGAGCACGGTGAGTGTCCCATGTGTGCTGATGTGCTGGGGGGAGGGTCCTCTGGTCCCATACCTGATGCTGTGACTCTTGGTTCCTCTGGGGCTTCTTGCAGGCTGTTGCTTTTGGGAAGGGAGGCTTGTGTGGATGTCCCCGTGTGCAAAAGAAAGGTGACATTTCATAGCATGACATAGATGTGCCCTTTCCAACGGCCAGCCAGAATTCAGGGTCAGGGCATGTCAGATGTCAGTGTAGTCTGGTCTTTGTCTCAGTGTAGGAGTTAGGGTTTCTTCTGCAAATTTAACTTTAGATGTTCACTTTTTTCTTTTCTTTTTTTTTAAGATTTATTATTTGAAATTCAGTTACACAGAGAGAGAGGGAGAGGCAGAAAGAGAGAGAGAGAGGTCTTCCATCTGCTAGTTCACTCCCTAATTGGCCGCAATGGTTGGAACTGCATCGATCCAAAGCCAGGAGCCAGGAGGTTCTTCAAGGTCTCAGGGGCCCAAGCACTTGGGCCGTCTTCTACTGCTTTCCCAGGCCATAGCAGAGAGCTGGATCTGAAGTGGAGCAGCCGGGACTAGAACCGGTGCCCATATGGGATGTTGACACCGCAGGCGGCAGCTTTACCCGCTACACCACACCACTGGCCCCTAAATACTAAAGTTTTTCTACTGAAGAAGGCAGTCCTCCTAAGCCAAATTGCTTCAAATATCATCACTTTTTTCAATAGTCAGGATTTTCTTTTCCCACACATGGTCAGTATAGTCCACTAATATACATTCTCGTTGAACCCTGGAAGAGTTGGCACACATTTCAGTTTCCGGATGCCTTGCTGGGTTTCCTGTCCAAGCCACAGCTGTGGAAAGCTACAGGAGTTCCTGTAGCAAGTTTCACACCAACATGTGTCACCTCACACATTTTCAGTCCTTCTCAACACAGCTTTCAACATATATAAATGTCCAAATGCCTGTTGACTCTCCTAGTCAGCAAAATCCAGTATGTTGAGTGGAACCTCTTACCATAGTCCGTGGTCCCAGCAGTGACAAATATGTGAAAGTAGGGACAACATATTACCCGTGAGAGGAGGCCCACTGTTCAGTGTGATGTGTAGACAGTGCAAGATTCCTGCTGTGCAAAATACAAAACCCACTTGGAACAGCTGGTGGGCTGGACAATGGTAATCCTAAGTGGCTGCCATGGATTCACACGGCCTGCAGGAAGGGTCCTGGGAAACCAAATTGCCACAAATATAAATAACTAGTGGAAATAAGGTTTTTCTGAATCAGTGATCCATTGAATTGTTAAAATGCTAAGTCAATGTTCACAGAACAGGTTTTTAGCCAATCATTCTTCCATGAACTTGATTTCTAGGCTACGGCTTATCCCAGGGCTGAGAACTTCTACTCAGACTTTAGCCACAAAACCCGTTGTGGCTACCAGAGTGCTGGAGGGACTAGGTAGCTCCGGTTCCAGCTCAGAACTCATACTGACTTTCAGTGTTTTCCACTCTGTTGTATTTATTTTAAACATTTAATTAACTTCATTCCAATACAATATTATTGCAAAGGGCCTTTCTCGGTGTCAAGTCTTGTGCTGAGAGATGGAAACAGATATCTCCAAGACTTCAGAGACAGAAGCAGAATGTGTTCTTGAACGTGTTTGACAGAGTGTTGAAAAGGCATTGGAGAAGCATCCCTATACTAGGACAGACACCATTTCTTCATTCTTTCACTCATCCATTCGCTTCTGGAGCAGCTTCCAGAATGTTCTGTGTTCCTGACATTGTCCTGGGCATGCATAGAGTATGAGGGGGGTCTCTGAGTAAAACCCTAATCATGTCTTGGAAAATGATAGACAGAGTGGGGAGGGCTACCTGCTCAGCAAACTCAGCAACATGAGCTGAGCCGGGAAGTGGGGCTGGACTGGGAGAGGTGGGTGAGCAGCAGCCCAAGAGGGCTTGAAGCAGATGAAGCATTTGAACCCAGTCCTGTGGGCTTGGGGGGCGTGGGAGGGTCTGAGCTGAGTGGGGTTTTCGATGTGGGGGGAAGAGGCAGGGAGAGCAGAAAAGTCCCAGGGAGGAGACTGAGGCACCAGGCCAGAGATGCTGGTGGACAGAGGGCTGGGGTTTAGGCAGGAGCCCGGACCTCAGAGTGGGTCGAAGATGGAGCTATGGTAGGCGGGTCCCTGACCTGTTCCCCCTCCAGAAGCTTCCCCTCTGACACTCTGACTTCCTCCAAGGAACTCTGTTCTTGGGGCCCCCTAGAGAATGAGTGCCTGAAAATGTAGTCTCCCTGTCCCCTGTGGGCCTGACCCTAGACTAACACGCTGGGGAATTAGATATTGTGGGGGTGGGGGTGGGGGTGGGGGTGGGGTGGAGGTGAGGTGACCTAACAATGGTCAACTCTTTAAGTGATTCCCATATTAGACTCTGTCTCATACAGCACTGGCCCTGTCCTAGCACTGACTTCCTGCCCAACAAGAGCAGAAGTAGAGACAGGGATAGCCCCGGAAGAGTGGTAGCTTTGTGAAGGTCAGGAGACTGTGACCAAGGCTTGGGGACAGTGGGGGACTGGAAGGAAAGGGGTCAGGGCTGGGCCACCTGGAGGAGGGTTCTGAATGGTCAGCTCTGGGGCTGGGGCTCAAGGGTCAGTACCTGTCCCAGGAGGGGCAGGAGGGGACCTGAGGCCACTTCCCATTTCATTGTCTCTCCCTGGCCCAGGAACTGCATCGGGAAACAATTTGCCATGAGGGAGCTGAAGGTGGCCGTGGCCCTGACCCTGCTGCGCTTCGAGCTGCTGCCGGATCCCACCAGGATCCCCATCCCCATCGCACGGGTTGTGCTGAAGTCCAAGAATGGGATTCACCTGCGTCTCAGGAAGCTCCACTAACCCTGCTGGGGACTAGAACAGGCTCTGAGGCTTCCTACCTGGCATCCCGCCTTTGGATCACCTGCCTGTGTCCACTGCCCCTCTGCACACACCCTGCTTTCTCTGTGCCCACCTGCCCTTCTTGCACCTGCCTGCCTTCCTGTCTCCTGTCTCTCTGTCCTCTCCCCCACCTTTCTGCAGGCGTCCAGCCTGCTTGTCTGTCTACCTGTCTGAATCTCTAGTTGTCACATCACCCCCGATCACTGCCAGCCCTCCAGCCTGCCTGTCCCTCTACCCTTTGTGCTGCTTGTCTGCCCCTTTGGGAGCTTCCTATTGCTTCTAAAAAGTGATCAAAACTTCAGCGGTTTTAGTGACATTAGTTACTCTTTTACGGTTTGGAAGATCAGAAGTCAGCAGAGTGTTTTCCTGGGACACACCAAGTAAAGATAATCCCTAAGTCACTACGATGAAAGATTCTCAGACTTCACCCTGGTCTGATGGTCCCAGGCACTTGAGTTTGTGGTCGCTCCCTGGGTAGTGATGTGTGGTGCGAAACTTGCTTGTGGTGTAGGGCATGGCAGCCAGTGCCCCTCTCCATCAGCCTCAGGTTCACAGGGCCGACACAACGTACAGCGCAGGGTGCTTTGACACTGCGATATGTGGTAGGTTAGCTGTATTAAATGCACCCTCAACTTCCATTTTCAACCAGGCAGGAGTTCACTGGGATGAGAGCCCACGGCCCTAGGAGAGGCTTCTGTTTGTGCAGGGCCACCCTCCGTCCAGGGCTCTGGGCAGACTTCCTTCCTCTCCTTTCCCATTCCCAGAGCTCCATTCCCTGCACTCTGTGGCTTCTGGACTCTTCCTCCTCATTCAGATCCATGGAACTTTCACATTTCTCTGCTTCTCTGTGTCACCTGCAGTGTCCTATGGGCCCTCACGACTACCTTGCATGCACTCAGATAGGACAGGACAAGTCACAGGTGTGCCAGGATAGGACTTGAACCAGACACGGGCATTCTTGAGTCTAGCGCAGTCCCTTCCCGACCACCACCCACTCTGTCCTTGTAATCTCTCCCGCAAGTTGTCTGAGCATCTTCCCACATAAATAAAGTTCACAAGTTGTGTGCAGTGTCTGCTCTCCTTTGGGAGGAGATGGAGGGAAGAAGGGAGAGGCAAAGGGCAAGGGAGACACAAGGTCAAGTCGCTTTCGGGGAAGGAGACGGGTGACATCTGCCCTGTGGTGCTGGGACCCCAGGCCAGCCTAAGGCAGCCCACTCCGCTCCACGCAGACTCACAGCCCCCTGGTGCCCCCCAATGCCAGGCAGCCCCTGAGGCTCCCTCTGCATCCCTGTGTAGACCAGGGGCTCTTCTCTAGGAGCTCAGAGGACGGGACCATGCCTCTGCTCTGCTCAGACCTCAGCTCTGCTCACAGGGGATTCTTCAGAGTAGGGCTGAGGTAGACTTGTCCTAAGCTGGGCAGGAAATCCTTCCAGGCCTGTCCTAGCTTGAGGGCCTTGGGGACTCAGCTTGTCGCAGCCCTGGTGAGACGTGAGAGTCTTGGCCATGTCACCAGCCGCCTGCCAGCCTCCCTCACACACAGGGAGCACAGGTTGTCCAGAAGGCTCATAGAGGAGTCCATAAGAGCATGAAGGGGCCCAGGGGGCAAACAGGTCCGTCTGCAGTGGGAAGGACATGAGACCCAAGCAGCTCCTCCCACACAGGACAGCCTTGTGCTGTCCTCTGTGTCCAAGCCCTGCCCTCCCCAGGTCCTGCCTCCTCCCCACCCCCTACGCACTCTCACAAGGTTACTGGGCTAGTTCTCTGCTCTCGCCAGCCACTGTCAACCCAGACACACCATTTCTTGCTGGCTCTGCACACAGGTCCCTGTCTGACCCCCAACATTCCTCACCAGGGCCCTGGATGTGGGGGACAGGGCTCTGTGGGGTCCTCTATCTGTAGTCTGAAGTCAATTTTTGCTTCCCTGAAATGGCTTCACCCTGGCTCAGTGTCTGCCGCCAAGACCTGGCCTGCTGGTCACTGTTGTAGTTCAGCCCTGCTCTAAGAACGGGCAGGAAGGAGCAGGTGGGACAGTCCTGGCTTAACTGGAGAGGAGTGTAGGGGCAGGATAATGAGCCAGGAACATCCTGGCCAGGACTTGTGGCAGGTGCCTGGCACCAAGTGGCGCAGAGGGCTCATGTTGCCCATGCTCAGTGAGCACAGGACAGCAGGAGTTCGCGGCCATTACCACCCCTGGTGCTGCGAGTGAACAGAGGGTGTTGACCAAATGGGTGCATTCATGCACTCAGGCTGCTGTAAGAAAACTTCATGAGCTGGCATGTCACGGTTAGGAGACGTTTCTCCTAGTCCTGGAGGCTGGAAACTCCAAGGTCAAGTCCCCAGCAGCCTGAGCGCATGCGTCTTGATTCATAGACAGCATCTTCTCATAATGTCCTCTCCCAGTAAAGGGGAAGGGGGCTTCTCTCACTCTGGCAATGCCGCCAAGGACAAGACCTCCTTCCCAATGGCTCTTCCTTCATCCATTCACCTCCTGCAGTCCCCACCTATGAAGAACATCAGATTAGTGACTGGATTTCGACACTGGATTTTAGAGGGTTCCAGGCATTCACATTCAATCTGAAGAGCGTACAGAGAGAGAGAGAGAGAGTTTCCAGAAATAAGGACATTTATTTGGACATAGAAGAGCACTGCTGTGAGAAAACATGTGGATTACAATAGTGCACATAACCTCTGTTGTTGCCAAATCAATATTATTCTTTAGAGAATCTCTCTCTACATGTTATTTTTGTGCACGCTTACAGTACAAGCCCTGTGCCTGAGCAGTGTCTAGTCCCAACCCTGTGCCTGTGCCTGTGCAGTGCTTGGTCCCAGCCCTGTGCCTATGAGGTCCCTGGTCCCAACCCTGTGCCTGTGCCTGGGCAGTGCCTGGACCAGACATGTGCCCTGTGCCTGTGCAGTGCCTGGTCCCAAGCCTGTGCCCCGTGCAGTGTCTAGTCCCAAAAGTGTGCCTATGCCTGTGCAGTGCTTGGTCCCAACCCTGTGCCCTGTGCCTGTGCAGTATCTGGTCCCAACCATATGCCTGTGTCTCTGCAGTGTCTGGTCCCAGCACTGTGCCCTGTGCCTGTGTAATGCCTGGTCCTATCTCTGTGCCTGTGCAGTGCCTGGTCCCAGCCCTGTGCCCTGTGCCTGTGTAATGCCTGGTCCTATCTCTGTGCCTGTGCAGTGCCTGGTCCCAGCCCTGTGCCCTGTGCAGTGTCTTGTCCCAACCCTGTGCCTGTGCCTGTGCACTGCCTAGTCCCAGCCCTGTGCCCTGTGCTGCTCAGCGCTTGGACCCAGCCCTGTCACCTCTGCCCCTTGAGCGTCTGTACCTTCACTCCTAACCTCTGTATGCGTGGCGCGTGTGCAGAGCCACTTCCCCCAGTCCTGTGCCCTGTGCCTGTGCAGTGTCTGTTCCCCCAGTCCTGTGCCTTGTGCCTGTGCAGTGTCTGGTCCCAGCCCTGTGCCTGTGCAGTGTGTTGTGCCAGCCCTGTGCCCTGTGCAGTGTCATGTCCCAGCCCTGTGCCCTGTGCAGTGTCTTGTACCAGCCCTGTGTCCTGTGTCTATGCAGTGTCTTGTCCCAGTCCTATGCCTGTGCAGTGTCTAGTCCAAACCCTGTGCCTGTGCCTGTGCCTGTGCCTGTGCAGTGTCTGGTCCCAGCCCTGTGCCCCGTGACTGTGTAGTGCTTGGTCCCAGCCCTGTGCCCTGTGCCTGTGCAGTGTCTGTTCCCAGCCCTGTGCCCTGTGCCTGTGCAGTGTCTGGTCCCAGCCCTGTGCCCCGTGACTGTGTAGTGCTTGGTCCCAGCCCTGTGCCCTGTGCCTGTGCAGTGTCTGTTCCCAGCCCTGTGCCCTGTGCCTGTGCAGTGTCTGGTCCCAGCCCTGTGCCCTGTGCCTGTGCAGTGTCTGTTCCCAGCCCTGTGCCCTGTGCCTGTGCAGTGTCTGTTCCCAGCCCTGTGCCCTGTGCCTCTGCATGCCTGGCCCTAGCCCTGTGCCTGTGCAGTGCCTCGTCCCAGCCCTGTGCCCTGTGCCTTTGCAGTGTCTGGTCCCAGCACTGTTCCCTGTGCCTGTGCAGTGCCTGGTCCCAGCCATGCTCCTGTGCAGTGCCTGGTCCCAGCCCTGTGCCTGTGCAGTGCCTGGTCCCAACCCTGTGCCCTGTGCCTGTGTAGTGTCTTGTCCCAGCCCTGTGCCCTGTGCCTTTGCAGTGTCTGGTCCCAGCACTGTTCCCTGTGCCTGTGCTGTGCCTGGTCCCAGCCATGCTCCTGTGCAGTGCCTGGTCCCAGCCCTGTGCCCTGTGTAGTGCCTGGTCCCAACCCTGTGCCCTGTGCCTGTGTAGTGTCTTGTCCCAGCCCTGTGCCCTGTGCCTGTGCAGGGCCTTGTCCAATCCAATGCCTGTGTAGTGTCTAGTCCAAACGCTGTGCCTGTGCCTGGGCAGTGCCTGGTCCCAGCCCTGTGTGCTGTGCCTATACAGTGCTTGGTCCAAGCCTTGTGCCTGTGCGGTGTCTGTTCCCAGCCCTGTGCCCTGTGCCTGTGCAGTGCCTGGTCCCAGCCCTGTTCCCTGTGCCTGTGCAGTGCCTTTTCCCAGCCCTGTGCGCTGTGCCTGTGCAGTGCCTGGTCCCAGCCCTGTTCCCTGTGCCTGTGCAGTGCCTTTTCCCAGCCCTGTTCCCTGTGCCTGTGCAGTGCCTGGTCCCAGCCCTGTGCCCTGCGCCTGTGCAGTGCCTGGCCCAGCCCTGTTCCCTGTGCCTGTGCAGTGTTTTGCCCCAGCCCTGTGCCCTGTGCCTGTGCAGTGCCTGGTCCCAGCCCTGTGCCCTGTGCCTGTGCAGTGCCTGGTGCCAGCCCTGTGCCCTGTGCCTGTGCAGTGCCTGGTCCCAGCCCTGTGCCCCGTGCCTGTGTAATGCCTGGTCCTAGCTCTGTGCCTGTGCAGTGCCTGGTCCCAGCCCTGTGTGCTGTGTCTGTACAGTACTTGGTCCAAGCCTTATGCCTGTGCAGTGTCTGTTCCCAGCACTGTGCCTGGCAGTGCCTTGTGTCTATGCAGTGCCTTTTCCCAGCCCTGTGTCCTGTGCCTGTGCAGTGTCTGGCCCCAGCCCTGTACCTGTGTAGTGCCTGGTCTCAGCCCTGTGCCCTGTGCCTGTGCAGTGCCTTTTCCCAGCCCTGTGCCCTGTGCCTGTGCACTGCCTGGTCCCATCCCTGTGCCCTGCTCCTGTGCAGTGCCTTTTCCCAGCCCTGTGTCCTGTGCCTGTGCAGTGTCTGGTCCCAGCCCTGTGCCCTGTGTATTTTCATGGCTCTCCTTTTTCTACCTTAGGGAAAGAATAATATTTATTTTACATAGCTGACCATCAAGGAGACAGGAAATGATCCAATCTTGCTCCCTGATCAGGGTCTGGCGTAAGTTTTTGCGTTATATGGAAAAACTGGCATGAAGAAGCACTGACAAGGCAAGTCCTGGTTGAGGAGGTCTGGAACCAGACCATTTTTGGGAGCATTTAGTAAGATGGGTTCCAGCACCCTCTGGTCACCACAGCCCTCACACCCGAGATTGTTTTTGGGCACAGGACCTGGTCATGCTCTGTTCTCTTTGGCTTCTTGTGTTAGATTTTGCTCCTGCAGGTGTCCAGGTTATATGGCTTGCTGTTTTGGCTTTGTGTTCCCTCTGCACTTCAGCTATTGAGTTTTATGCAATCTTGCATTAAAAAAGAGGAAGTAGAACTAGGACAGGTGTTTCGCTTACTGGCGAAATCCCCATTCAGCAGTCTGCATCTCCTATTGCAGTGCTTGGGTTTCTTCCTGGCTCCAGTTTCCAATTCTGGCTTCCTGCCAATGCGAACTCTGGGAAGGAGCAAGTGATGACTGAAGTAGTTGGGTTCCTGCCACTCACAGGGGAGACTTGGATTGAGGTCCTAGCCTGGCCTCAGCCACTGTATGCATCTGAGCAGTGAACCAGTACGCAGGAGCAGGGACTCAAACCAGCTCTTCTGATATGGGATGCAGACATCCTAAGCTATGCCTTAACCACTGTGTCAAATGCCTTCCCCTGGGGGTGTATTTTTTGATAAAGTTAAGAGAAAAAAAGATAATTCT